TATTTGATAAGAGATAAATAAGATATTACTTGATATATAACTTTTACAGAAATTTCTATAATAATATAAATATCTACTAATATGACTCAATATAATAAAAATTCTGATTATTTCTTTTTCAGTATAATAAATATTATAATCAATATCAGTAAGATATATTTTTTCTAGTAATTTTTCTTTATTTTGATTATTATAAACTTTGATTATATAGTATCCATTATTTTGTTTTACAGAAATATCTTTTAAATAATTATTGAACTATTATAAAAATTTATTAAGTATCTGATAAATAATATTAAATTTTTCTTGAATTTCATTTAATTCAAGTTGAGAAGGTTGAGTTAAAATAGGAATATAATTTATTTCTTCAATTAATTTATTAGTTACTATTTTTTCTGGAATTAGTTCTAATATTATAGAATATTTTTCTTTATTTAATTTAATCAAAAATTCAGATTATATATAATCATTATATTTATCATTATTACAAGAGATTAAGTATTCTTGATAAAGTTTTATATTAATATAATCCAAGTGAGCAAGTTATTATCTTTAATTAGAACTAAGTTATTAATAGATATATTAAAATATTTCAGTAGTAAAGACTTTTACAGAACTCTCATAGATAATTTTATAAATAAAGTCATCTTTATATATAAAGCAAGATAAAATTACTTTGTCAATTTCATCATATTCATCATATTGAGTTATTAAATTTTGAAAATAGTCTGTATTTGATAAATCATTACTACAAATCTAATTATGTATATATATATTCATGCATATTATTACTTAAATATTTGTTTAAGAAGTGTTTGATACTTTTAATTATTATATATATTTATAAAAATACCAGTCTCTTATTGTATTTTTTAGTGAATATGACTAAACAAAAAGAATTAACTGAATTTGAGTATGAAGTTATTATTAGTAAGTGACTATTTAGATACTTAGAATGAAAAATTGAGAAGAAAACTGGCTATTCAAAAATAATTATTTATCATATTATTAAAAAATATTATGAAACTGATATAATAGCTTCTTTTTCATATAGTAAAAAATTACTAGTCTTAATAAGTAAAGATAAATATCATGTTAAAATAATTATTTGATCCAATTACTAATAGATTACAAGACAAGTTCATCAAAATTTTACACAATTATCTGATATCAGTCTTTTAATAATTAAAAGAGTATTATATAATATAGAATACAATAGTTAAATTACTATTAGAAAACTATTTATATTATTAAAGAATAAATAAGATTAATTATAATAATATCAAAAATATAAGAAATGGATAATTAAGAATTAGAAAAAGATAATATAAAGTAATGAATCTCATTTTACTTTATTCTAAAATAATAATAAAATTTAGATTTGAAGATTGCAGAAAGAAAAATATGATATTAATTGTATAATTCTAACTATTAAATATAATAATGATAGAATAATGTTATAAGATTATTTTACTTAAAACTACTTAGAACTATTGATAAGACTTAAAGAAATAATTAATAGTTAAAAATATATAAAAAAAGTCTTGAAAGAATATTTGATATTATTTATGAAGAGTTTTAGAGAAGAAATTAATAAATATTAATTTTAATAAGATAATATTCTAATTTATAAAAGCAAAATGATAATGATATTTTTTGAAAATTCAGAGATTAATATAATAAAATAGCCAGAATAGAATCCAGATCTTAATTCAATTAAATATCTGTGAGATGAATTAGAATACTCTATTGGAAAATGGGAGTTATCATCAAGAAATAAAAGTGAGTTAGTTATATTTCTTCAAGAAGAGTGAGAAAATATTTCAACTAGTATATATCAAAATTTTATTTTAAGTATGAATAACAGAGTAAAAGTAGTTATAAAGACTAAAAACTATGTAACTAAGTATTAATAAATATTATAATTATTTTTTATATTCAATTATGTGCTGAATTAAAAAATTTTTATTAGTAATTTTATTAAATTTTTATATTATATTAAAATTAATAACTTAATAATTAAGTAAGCTATTCATAAAAACTTTTTTGTATTTTATAGTACTATTTATACTCTTTATAATAAATATAAAATTATAAGATATTATTAAGTAAATTATTTTTTGGGATAATTTTAAATATTAATATTATAAAATTCTATTTACTAATTTTTGATAGTATGTAAATATGCTTTAAGTTTAATATTTTACTATTTAATTTATAATAAAATTTTGCAAAAATATTATCTATAATGTATATTAATAATAGTATAAATTCTATAACTATAAGATGTTTAGTTATAAATTTATTTATAATTAATTAAAAATCAAAAGAGTGATTTATAACTTTTAAGATGACATTGTATTTATTAATATATTTATATTTTTTTATAATAAAATAATATCAATAACTTGTAAATAAAAAAATATTTTATCAAGCTTTAAAAATATAATAATAAAAGAAAAAAACTAGTAGAAAAACAAAAAAAAGAAAGTTTTAAGAAATAAAAACAAGATTTAGAAAAGAATAATAAGTTAGATTAAGAAAATAAAAAAGATATAAGTAAGAAAATAAAAAAAAATAATTATTATAAAACTTATATAGAATAAAAAAATAAAAAGAAAAAATATTTAAATAATTAAAAGTAATTTAGTTTATTCTAAATTAATAATTTATTAATTATTTAGAGAAGATTTTTATATTACAGAAATATCAAAAATAACTTATTATTATAAGTTTAATATATTCATTAATATTATAAAAAAAATAGAGATAAATAATATTAGTTTATTCTAATTTAAAAAATATATTAAAGATATTATTTTATTATAAAATATCAGAATCAAAAAAAATAATTAAATATCTTGAAATACTAATATAAAAACTATTAAAAAGCAATATATTTTGATAGATATAAGTAAAAAAATATTGTTATATATTAAAAAATTTTTTTTGAGATAATAAAAAAATTAAAATAATAAATAACAAAGTATAAAGATAAAATAATAAAGATAATTTTATTAATACTTATAATAAGTAAATAAGAATTAATTTTAATTACTTATAATAAGTATATTTTTTATTATAATAATAAAAAGAAAGAAATTTAAATAATAAATGAAAAAATACTATTACAAAAAAATATTATTACAAAAAAAATAGATGATCAATAATAATAAGTAAATTTCTTTCTGAAATATGTAATTAGTTAAAGTTAAATAAAAAAAAGATAATGAAATATTTAAATATTTCTATAAAAATACACTATTATCTTATATCTAGCAAAAATCAAGAAGATTATTAAATTATTAAATATTTATTAGATCAGATCAAGTAAAGATAATTTCTATTTTTAAAATAAAATTTTAATATAATAGCTATCTTTATCTTTAATAATAATATAAATCATATAATATATATTAAAAATATTCTTGTTATAAGAAAAATAAACTTGAATTTTAAAGAAAAATAACTAATAATAAGATTAATAAGTTTTATTAATCTTAATAAATAATAAATAATTTAATAAATAATATTTTCTAATAATTAGTCTAATTCTGCTTTATAAAAAAAGTCAAAAAAAAATTAAAAGAATCTTAAAAAAAAAGATCTTTAAAAATAAAAATTGATTTTAAATTGTCATATATATAAAAATAAGTTAGTTAAAAAATCTTTGATAAATTATTATGTAAAAAATATTATAATTTCTCAATTAAATTTTATTATATAAAAGCTAACTATTGTAAAATTAATTAAAAATATTAAATATTTATATATTTTTATTTTAAATTTTATTATAAGCTGAACTTTATCAAAATATATTGAAAAGTAACTAAGTATTATATAAGAAATTATATGATTATATCTGAAATAATCTTTCAAGAAATTATTCTACAAGTACTTGATTTTATTAATATTATTATAATTTAAAAAGTTTACTTGAAAATTATGAAAATATATATAGTTATATCATTGAAGAATTGATAAAAAAAATTAGCTAAATATGTATGTAAAAAATTTAAATTACATAAATAAATATTACAAGATCAATTAGATGTATTTATAAAGATATATTTATAATATTTTACAAGAGTATTTTTAGATAAATTTGATCTTTTTTAAAAGTATTTATATAAAAAAGTTTGAATTTAATAATCATGATAATTATAATATGATAATATCATATATATATATAAAAAATTACCAATCACAATTATAATTAGCATAAAGTTATGTAATTTTTTTGGAAAATAGCATAAATCGATTTTTTAGTCCAAGTAATTTTTGACTCTCAAAATGGAACAAAGTCACGTGATTATAATCTTTAAGTGTACAAATGTAAAAACGTCCTATATTTCCGATCCAAAAGTTTTGGCCATTACGATTTTTGATAATTCAATAAAATGCATTTATCACAATTGAAATATATGTTTTATTTGGCATATGAAGAAGAGTATCAAGACACTGATTCTCAGGAATCTGCACTTTTCTTGACAACACTTCTTCCGGTTTTCTGTATAAGACTTTTACCAAATTCCTGATCTAATTACTTATCAAACTAAGAAAGTTACAAAACCTAATATAATGATACACATAAGAGTAAACGCATGCCCCAGTACATACATAGCAACACATATTCACCAGGATGGAGAACATGTGTTGCTATGTGAGCGCTACTATACCAGCAAATGCTAATATTCGTCAGCTGATCTTCTAAGAAGAATTCAATGTCAAAAGGTGTTCATATAGGATAAGGTGTGGTCTTGAAATAAAAGAATTTATTTTTGGAAGCTTAAAAATATTTGATAGATCTTGTATCGGTATTGTAACCTTAAGATCAAGAATCAAAAAATAATCCAGTATATCGTCGGAATTCAATCATACTTGATGTATTGCTTATGGTAAAATAACCAAATAAGAAATAATTAGTTCTTGTTTCCTGGATCACTGGTTACTATTCCATCCTATAGCCAAAAAATAATTAGAACATGATCAAATAAAACCAATAGAAAAAATATCCATAGTATATTTACCATTTCAGAAGCTTCTTTTCCAACAACACTTTGAAATATTTCATCCCAATCAACAACCTCACTTTCATCTTGACCCTTCGTTTCATCTTTGATATTCTCTTCGATAACATCACTTTTATCGTAACAGTAAGAAATGCCATCAGATGTGGTAACTTCCGAGTCTTTTCTCAAATCATCGGGGAGAAAATCAGCTGAGACTTGAATATTATGAAATATTTGTTCGACACCTTTTGGTTGTTTTTTTTCCTCCTTTTAACATAAAAAATTCATTAGTTATAGATAACTACCGAATATAGTCAAATCTCGTTATAGTGAAGACGTTCGGGCTATTAGTGAAAATTCACTTATTGAGAGTTTATCAAAAAATTCATTATATCGAGAGTTCACTATAACAAGAGTGACTTGTATAAATGTGATATTTGTACATATATTAGTTTATTACCTTTATGCTTTCCTCTTCTCTCTCTTTCTCATCCGAAGGCGGCAGTGTAAAATATGGTATTTTACCTCGAAGCCAATCATTTAATATCATTTTTGAAACAGTATGAATGTCTGGCTCGCCTTTCTTTAACAGTTTGCCAGTCTTTTGTGCATATTGTCCAAGAAAATCGATATGATCTTCCCATTCACTAATTTCATATGTTCGTTGAATATAATCTTTACGAACCCGTTTGAGCACTTCAATTATATAATCTTCGGGTGTCTTTAGATTTTCTATTCTCACCTTTGATAAAAATTTTCCGAAACAAAAATACATCAATTTCAAAAATTTTACCAATATCATTAAAGAATGGAATGGTCAAAATCAGGAAAATAATACCTACAACACCTTTCATCACGATATCAGTTTCTGTATCTTCGAGTGAGGGTGGTACAATCCCAGGACAATCAATCAGATATATACGCTTCATAAGAGTAATGTATTGCCAAACTTTAGTCTCGCCAGGAATCGGTGCGACGTTACACACTTTCTTGTTTTGTAATGTATTGATTATTGAACTTTTGCCGGTATTTGGATATCCAATGAAACCGACGCTTATTTGCTTTTTGTCAGAATGCAATGATGCGAATTGACGTAGTAACTGTATTAAAGATCCTTTACCAAAAGAGTTGTTAATGCTTGCGTGGAATGCGAGCGTTGGATACTCTTGCGATAACACTGCCACCCATTTTGCCTGCATTAATGTTTAGGAATTGAATTAATGTTATTTCTATTTAATATGATAAGATTTTCTTTGAATGTGTGAAACCTAACTAAGAGGAATAACACAAAAAAATGTTCATCCCTCTACTCTAAGGAACACAAATATAAATTATTCTGCCACAATTATAACGTGTAGACTCTACAAATACTGCATATATAGAATATATATCATGCGATAAAGCCGACACTGACTACATTATGGCGGATAACGGATTTTATCCTTGCTCATTCCACCACAATTCATTCAAATATTGGTTACCTACCGTGACCCAAGTAGGAACAAGATCACACTTATTCAAAAGGAACACCAAATGTTTATGACTGGCTTCCTTTTTCAGATATTGTTCCACGTTCTTGCATCGTGTTCCAATTGGATCACGTGCATCTAGCACGTGAATTACAACATCTGAAGAATCGATAACCTGAATTTGATAAATAAATCTATAACGATAAGAATCTAATTCCGATAATGCTTGAAAGACTATTAAATATTGTATTCTCTACCTTGTACAGTTCATTCCAAATACGTTTTGATTGACCTTTTGAGAACAAACTATCCCGAGCCTCATCTATCCAATCTGTGTTAATATTGGATAACAATGACGGGTCGTTTTTTTCATTGTAACCTTCCAACGATTCTTTAGTACTATTGAGTAACTCCTCTAGCGAATCAACTTTTATTTTAGGCCGTTTTCGCTGTGCTTTTGGTCCAAATGTGTTTGAAAATGTTTCGGTCTCCAACATATGCATTCTAGTCACCTAATTTATATTGTGATAGTAATGAAAAATTTTGAATGCGTGAATTAATGCACCCAACATAGGTCAAACAACGTAGCAAAGTGGGCATGTCATTAACACCTTGGCAGCATCGGCGAGTAAAGTCATAGGTAATTTATTTTGTCGTAATAAAACTTGATATGGATCATTAACTTTAGCTCCTAAACTTTCACGGAAATCCTCCAATTGTTTCTGGCCGATTACTCGAGTATTTCCTTTTGTGTTCAATTGAAAATTATTACTATAAAGATGTTGATCATAATTGATAAAGAACAAGATTTCAATTAAGTATATTATTAACAATCAATCAAGTAAATCTTGCAATTGATATCATCGCACAGTTAAGAATTCAGCCTTCGATGATTCAAGTTCAATAGTCGCACACATTAATTAACCTTCAACCAGCAACGAAAATAAAACATACCAAACCACCGCCTATCTGGTTGAATTCTAGCAATAGGCTTAATACGACTTTGAAACGGCGCATCTTTAATAATTTTTCCTTTACTATTACGTTTAGCAGTTCCACCTTTTAGCATATTAACGAATTTTACTTTTTTTGCATCCCGATAAAAGTTTTCTCCTTTTACTCGTAGGTTACCCGCAGAAGCGGGACCTGAAGATGAAGAAGCTGCTGCTTGCTTAGCAGCAATTCTATTCTTTTCTTTTTTTGCTTTACCCATAGTTCTTTATTTTTGCTTTTGGAGAAAAAAAAATTTTTTTTTTTATTTCACGATCTATTTTTTATCGACATGCATGTTATACGCGATAGTTCCTGTCACATGATAATCAACCAATAAGAAACCGCAAATCATATGTGGGACGGCAACTATGACTATATGTAATGTAAAATTGCATTTTTTTTGCCCATGATCAGGCACCGAGCACAGATTGTTCTATACTTATGCCGCGTCATCAGTTGACAGTTTGAAAAAATTACATGTAAATCCACACATCTTGTTGATATTTACGACGAATCATTAACAAAAAAATAATGGTATCTATTATGTTAAGTGAATTCTTTAAAAGAAAGATGAAAGCACACTTTTATCTAATTTTTTTAAAATAGGCAACACAATCTCTTCGCATTGTTCCTAGTTCATTCCCAGAAGGCGCCCCTTCGAAAAGTGTAAAATCGACAGCAAATTCTTTTGGTGTTCATGATACCTTTCGTCTTGGTGTGAGGTCTATTAATACTGAACTTTTGCCTAGTCATCCTCTTGAAACAAGACTTGACCAGGTAAAATAATCCTCGTTCCTAGAATGTATAACAAAAAATGGACCGCTTTAGAATAACGTGTATGCCCAATTGATATGAATAGTGGGATCAAACTCAAACCAACCTTAAACTTACTATGGAAAGGCGAATTTATGGTATTCATGCACCAATAAGACATCTGATGGAAAGAAGCATTGTGTCGCGGGTAATAAAAAACAAAATAAGCGAAATTTTTTTAATCATTTAATAAAATTATTAAAATCTTTGTTGATCTTTATATTAGGTTCAACGTTTGCCAGTTTTACCCTCATCCAATCTAGCTTTAGATATCCTCATGGGCAAAGATGAGACGATTGAATTCGAAGATTTCTTGAATGGTATTTCTCATTTTTATTACTAAAGCTTTCTTTTATGCGTATATAATAAGTAATAACTATTCATTAACGGATTTAATAGATCCAGAATCATCAACCGAGCCAATGGATGTACACGTTTCCATGGAACATAGATTAGGCATTAAATTCTAACAATTCATGTAATTTATAAATCAGATACAATTCTTTTATTTAAACATCCGCAAATTTTCGATCATACGAATCGAAAATAAAATTCTTGAATGTTTGATATGTTTTATCCAGATCATCATTAACAATTATCAAATCATGAGCACCCTCTTGCTGTGAATAAGCAAGTTCCTCATTGGCCTGATCAAGTCTAGCTTTTATTGACTCCTCATTTTCAGTCCCTCGTCCACGTAATCGTTCTTCAAGAACTTTTAATGAAGGAGGAGAGATAAATAGAAATCTTGCATCTAATTCATCTTGTTTTTGTTTTACCGCTTTAACTCCCTAAATTTTTATCGTTATCCCTTATTATTAATTTTTACGCCAACCTAATATTTAATCTCTTTCATATTACTTACATTTAATTCAATATCCAAGATGCAGATTTTTCCCGTGTCTTCTACATCACGAACAGCTTTCACACTCGTTCCGTACAAATTCCCCGAGAATTCAGCATGCTCGATAAATGCGTTTTCTTTTATGAGTTGATTGAATTGATCACGTGTTATGAAATGATAATTTTTCCCGTCTTCCTCGCCAGGACGTGGTTTTCGTGTTGTATCTACAAAAAAAAAACTGTTAGTAAAAAGTATTTTTGTAACATAAATATGTCGATCAAAAAAGAAAAATAAAAAAGAACAAACTTTCGTACGAGAAACACTGAATCCAAACTTGTTTGGATATTCTTCGAATAACCTATTGAGTAAAGTTGACTTTCCGGAACCTTTTTAAAAATGATTAAAAAAAATTTATCGATTATCCTTTGAAAGTAAGGGATTTTTGGAGAGAATTTAAGTTGTTGATTAACCTGAAGGTCCAGATACAACTATTACTAACGGTCGATACACTAAATATAAGAAGATATGGAATCACTTTTCGCGTTCTCTCTTCTAATTTGATAATTTGATCCTTTATAAATTTCAATTACCGGATTGAGGCACGTTAGACATTAGAATAGTAGAGACGAAACGGAAAAGCGGGGTTTTATTAAAGTTACTCCGCACGCGAAACGTTCTACCGAACATTTAAACTTTTTGTGCTTTGTGAAAGGTATTTTTAGCATCAATGCACCCCCGCAATTATGCTTAACGTATGTGTCACTACCGCTACATGCAATGGACTCTGCGATTTGCAAGGAAGATCATAAAGAAAATGAATCTATCTGTTTATTTGCTCATTTCGACAATATCAATAATATTATTAACACTATTCATTTATCGATTCTACAAAGTTTTACCTGCAACAACAACAACAACAACAACACGGCAACGAGAAAAACGGAGCCAATTACAGAAACAAATATCTTGCAAAACATGTATTGTATTAGGTTCAGGTAAATGAGGATATATGCTAGACATTTGTCGGCATATGCAAATTTTTTCACATAAATTATTGAATCCTATTCAAATTGTGAAAACAGGCGGTCACACGATGGAAATGTTTCAACTTTTAAAAAAAATAAATCACAAAAAATATCAACCACGCCTATACGTAATAGCTGATAATGACGAATTGAGTGAAAGAAAAGCGCATGATTTTGAGAAGTGGAAGGACAGTGTCGATGTACGTATGTATTATTCTTTGAGGGGACGTTTTATTTTTCCGGCTTGATCTTTCTAAGAAGCTTAAAGTACAAAATCAGAAGAATACCACGAGCCAGGAGAGTAGGTCAATCGTGGTTGACTACGCCGGTATCGGTGATTAGATCCTTGGTATCATCGTTAACTTTAATTCTCTTTGAATTACCCGATCTTGTAAGTTGCTATCGTCATAATATGGTTTTTTTCACTTGAAAAAGGTTAACAGATTATATCATATTCACATTTAGATAATATGCAATGGCCCAGGCAGTTGCATCCCTATTTGCGTTATATCTTACATTCCAAGAGTAAGTTATTTAAAGATTAATTGGTCGGTTTTTATAATGTGATGTAATTACTTATTTATCATATTTTTTGCCGTTTTTGTCTCCCGAAGATTCTCGGAATAAAACATGTTCGTATAATATATATTGAATCATTTGCACGTGTGAATTCGCTATCATTGTCTGGACGACTATTGATCAATTTCGTTGATCGATTTTTGGTTCAATGGCCATATCTTGCGCAAAAGTATCCTGAAAAAGCAGAATATTTTGGCGTTTTGGTTTAAATCAGAAAATAACCAATTACGCATTAGCGATGCAAGTTGTTAATCACGTGATCCAACTCCCTTGGGTATCACGAAAAAATAAAAATCTCGTTTTTAAAAATTTCGCATCATATTTGAATCGTATTTCGTCATATGTCAATCAGGTACTAGCTGGATCTAGCTTAAAACTTTTTAAGAGATTTTCGGGATAATTATTAACCCACCCCATTTTAGTTAAATTCTTTAAATTTGCAAGAGACAATAAGTTCACATATCCTTGTTGTTTTAATTTTCCTTTGATGCATATATTAATTAAAACTATCAAATATTTGGGATTCGTGAAATGTTTTTATTTTTTGATCCTGAGGGGCCATTAGTTCTCTTGGCGAAAACTTAAACGTTTTTACATTTCAGTTAACTATGTATGGGATCAGGGGAAATACGTGGAGCGGAAAAACTATTACTTGATGAACGCATCGACGAGTGGAAAATAGAAAAGGTTCGGGCGAAGCGATGGATTTTCTTTTTATTTAAGAGACTAAACCGGTTTTGGCGACAAAAGACAAGAAGATAACGTACGAACTCAGGGGACATCCAAATAAAAATATTTTGGATATTTTGTGCTTTGTGCTTTGCTCCAATCTTTTCATTTACAGGTATCAACAATGTGGAGAACACAAAACCCAAATCATTGTGCAGCGCGATTTTCGCCGTGAATTTAAAGATGTTTACATTTTGTATCGATTATGGAAATCCTCATAATTAAGGATAACGCCGAAAAAGAATTAATGATTGAAATTTACCATTACCATATCATAGAGAAAACGGAAAAAGCTCGTGAAAAATGCCCAATAACAAGAAAAAAAGAAATGCGACGCCATGCTTAAAGACCACCCATTCGAGCGATTTCCTTGTTTTGTCCTCTCTTCTACCCTCGATGCATGCGTATCATATCGGTAGATTTTATTATTATATAAACACCCAAAACGACAATTTAAATCGTATCGAGAAGTTTATCGAATCAAGAATCTTATTAAGCTTTTTGTTTTGCGTTCTTGACAGCAAGATAAGGGAGAAAAAGGGAGCCTTTGATTTGATTCATTTTACTAAAAATATCCCAAAAAAAACGGAAAATGCAACTGTATGCAATTGCATAATATTTTATGCACGCACAACATACGCATTCATTCTATAGACAGCGATATGCAGGGTGATTTAATGTTACTTTTCTATGGATGCGTAATGAATGGGATGGGATTAGCGACAAGGAATACAATGCTTAAAGCGATAGATAATAAAGAGGAGAGAAAAATCGCAAGAAAAAACGAATAATGAAAAATATTATTATTAATTAATCACCAAATGATGTAATGCCTCAAAATTTAGGCTAGAAAAGGATAAGGATATCGAAATAAAAAAAAAACGTTTTACTACTAGTGGTGGTACTATTAGGGTTGGGTAGCAATAATATTTGCCAGTGTTCGATGGTAATTTGTGGTATTGGCATTGATAGTAGCACGAATATTTGAAATTTTTCATTGATGCATTTACGTATTTCTCATTCCTACTAACAACAATATCTACTATTGTGTGGTATTTCTTGCTTATTTTCCCGTTTTTTCTTTTTAGGCGTTTTCATATATCGAGTTTTTTTAACAGAAATCCCAAAAGTTAATTAAAAGTAAAAATTTCACATATTTTTTTTGTCCGAACACACAGACGCATCTGCTAATATAGACACCCTTGCATCAACCAACGTATTCTACTCTACTCTAAAATGAAGAAATTACTCCGAATTTTTTCTTTAAGTATGTAATGAAATTTCACGCCGAATATTTTAAAAGATTAAATTGGTAAGTAAAATGTTTATGATCGTTATATGGTATGGGTTATATACACTTCAGAAAATATAAGTAAAAGAAAATTTCTCGAGTTAATTCAATATTACATGTAACGAAAACAACCACAAATTCTTGTTCAATTCATTTAACCCAAATTTATCCAATTTTAAATTAACCTCTCAACTCTGTCGTTAAACAAAAATCTTCAGCAGCAGCGTTACAACCTTAACGTTATTTTTTTAACACTGAATAAATTAATAATTACATGAATTAATAATAATTCGTATTTTCTTATTAAAATCGTTATGCCAATCCAAAACTGATTGCTTGGTCAAATAAAATGCTCTTTATGTAATATATTCCCGTTCGAAAATCAAAAATTTGTCCAAATTAGTCTTGTAATTGAAACGACATGGCATCATCGAAACTTTTTCGATACGAAATTACCAAATTTAGTAATGGCAAAAACCATCATCAGAAAGTCAGTCACCCAAAAATTAGCGACCCCAAAATCTTACTGCGTAAAATGCGCAGTAAAGACCCAAAATTAGGCGCATATTATTATACTGTAATAACTTATAAGAAGAGGGGGTTCGTCCCTTTTGACCTTTTAATTGAAACTTCTCCTTTTTTTGTTGTTCTTCCACCACTGCTATTCTTACGTTGTAATTTTTTATTTTAATTTTTTTTTACTAGTGTATTACATAAAAAATATACTAACATTTTAACTGTTGACTTTATACACGCACACACACACACAAAAACACACACTATTAATAAGAGTACAATTCAAGTGTTGTACTCTACTTAAATTTTATATCATATTAACATCAATCATCATTCATCATTATTTTTTGCAACGCAAATTTCGAAGAAAGAACGATTCTTTTTTTTTTTGACAACCAACACAAGTAAGTGCGAGGCTCGTGCTTCTTTCGAAATAATATGCTAATAATCACAACAAAACAGAGCACATAAAAAAATATAAAAATAAAAATAAATATAAAATAAAATAAAATAAAATAAAATAATTTCTTTTGTGTTTTTTGGTTTCGGTGGCTCGGTTCTAATTCCAGTTCTTGCTATTTTATCATACTTCTTTTTACTTGTTACCCGTAATACTCAGGCGAAACCGACAGAAAGAGATTATCCTGCATTATTTTTTTTTCAATTAATGATTTCGAAAGGAAAAAATAACAAATAATAATCAATTAGCTCGTTAACATCAAACATCATCATCATTATTATTATTACCCCGCAAATCTTAATTTAAAAATCTGACGTATCTTACAACTCAACCGCTCAAACAACTTTTTGGCTGGCAACACATTTTGTGTAAGTCTGCTCTATTGTTCTCTTTAATTATAACCACAGCTTTTTAATTATTATTCCATTTCCATTCACCATTATCAAATAAACAACAGCAACAATAATATTTTATCATCGTCATCATCGTCATAATAATAATAATAACTGTCGACCAAAAAATTTCTTTATCCTCACACTCTTATTCACTCTCAATCCAGCTCAAAATTTTACGCGCGCGTACTTTCATACATATACTTTTTTGACATATAATATATATATATACATATATATATACAAAAGTAGTATACTCATAATAACGCACATTAATATATATATATTAATAAATAAGATTCCCCTTTCTTAAATTTAAAAACCAAAACCTTTTCAAAAAGACAGCCGAAATAAGATTTTAAGGCAGTGTGTAACTAAATTACCTCTCCAATTTTTTCTTTTTTAGTCACCATATTTATATTTGGGAACAGAGAAAGTAATTGACACGCTTCGCCTGAACATTCATACTCAGAATGCAGCAACAACAGCCAAATATGTTCTTCGCTCATGCCCTTTTTCCCCATCGTCAACAACAACAATTCCACCAATCTTCGCTTTCACAGCAGCGACAGCAGCAACAGCGGCAGCAACAGCAGCAACAGCAACAATCTTCACAACAGCAGACTCAAGCTCAACCAATTAGCCTATTGCATCCCACCTCTTACCACCTTGAACAGACACAGCTGCGGAGTAAGCGAGGGCAGTCTACAAGTAACGATGGTGCGCCTCCTACACCAAGCAATTCTTTTACTAATAATAATACAATAGATCCCGGTGTTTTAAGTAATAGCCATAGTCATAGTCATAATCATCCTCATCATACTCTTCCTCATCATCAACATAATAAAAGCATTAGTAATAATATAACAAACACATTGCATCCTGCTTTTATTAATCCACATCATCCCATTAAACAAGAATCACCTGACATAACTCAAGATCTGGATTTTGGTGATCCATCCTCCACCATCATGTCCCCACTATCAAATGCCTCTCCGATCGGTTCGCCGTCTCAAAATTCATTTGAGCCTGACGAGTATATTGGTATGAAACATTCTTTAAAACCTGGTGTCGGTATTGGTGGCAATGGCGGCGGGGGTGGCGTCGGTAATGGTGGTGTAGGTGGTGGTGGTGTTGGTGATCTTGATAATTCTGGTGGTATACACGTAGATACTGGTTCTCAATTTGGGGAATCACCTGGGACACAACCATCAATCTATTCTCCTGGTCCAGACAATACAGATTTCTACTTTGACACCGCAGACTTCTCGACCAGTGCCCCTGCAAGTGCAATAGATGTAAAGACAATAACTGCCCAGAAATTCTTTAATAATCGAACACACAATAATAGTAATGGATTTGCAAGTCAATATCCGGTAAGCATGTCACTGCCTGTCACGCTCAATCAAGCGGCGGGCACCGAATGGTTTGGCACTAGTTTGGATCAATCGAGTGGATTCGCAGGCGCACATCCTTCATCCCTACAATTCCCCAGCGGTGATATGCCACCAATCTTGGGTAATGATTTCTTGCAAGAAGAGGAGAATGCTGAGAAGCGGTATGTTAAAAGGTTGACTATAGAGTTTATTTTTGTGCTGCTTGCGTTGATTGGTCAGCTGGCATTTTATTGCTAGAAAAATGTTTGAAACCAATATGGAATTTATTTAAAAGAATCATCTCTTTCTTTGAACAAATTCGATTGCTTCATGCATCTTTTGACTTTGTGTTGCCTTTTTTTGGTATCCTAAACAGTAATTTTGATTTTTCTCTTTATAAATAATAACAAAAGTGCTCTGCTGAATGAGAAACGACGTAAGCGACGAGAATCACATAATGCTGGTGAGTAATTCAGTATCGGACTGCCCGTCTTCATTCTTCCGTCGCTTTGCTTGATAATATGACATGAAAAAAAAATTTCTAATGAAAATTAAATTCTTCTCACGATGCAAAGTTGAGCGACGTCGCCGGGATAATATAAATGAAAAGATTCAAGAACTCTCGACATTATTACCTGACCTGTACAACGATTCGGCCAATAAACCAAATAAAGGAGTGATCCTACGCAAATCAGTTGATTATATTCGTGACCTCAAAAAGATTGTTGATCAACAAGGTGCACGAAATCAAGAATTGGAAGCGTTGGTTCGTGATCTTCAGAGTAAAATGAATGCAAGTAGTCTGGACGGCAGTACATCATCTTCACTTGAAGATCAGACATCAACGATGAATATGATGTCGTAATTATACTATTTACTATGCTAAAAAAAAATAATAATGATAATAATAAGATGAAGAAGAAGAAGAATAACAATAACGAAGATTATAGAAATAATAATAATAATAATAATAATAATAATTGTATTTATTGCTGTCGATATCTTCTGCTAATAATGCTGTTGATATCTTGATGGCGAATAATAATAATAATACTCCACAATTTGAGGCAGGCAGGAAGAGAACTCAGGAAGGGAAAAAAATGGCTTTGAGATCCAGTCACCATTATATATATATATATATCTATAGAGATATATTTTATATTCTTTTTTTTAATTGTTGTATTTTAGTAGCTGTTAATTTTATATTTCTTTGAGCATCTGGCGGATGAAGTGGGGGAGGAAAAATTGGTTTTCTCGAGTTAAATTTTCCTTGCTTCAAGCTGTTATTATCATTGATTCTCAAGTGATGTAATGCTAGTAGTTTGTATATTTGGCATAATTTTAATCATTGTATAGCTTTATTATTCTTTTTTTTTCTTTATCATAATTTTCTCCTCCCACTTTTATAGTTTATTTAATTCTTTCATCACATCTCTTCTCTTCCCTTTTCACACGCAAGACTTTCTATTATGTCGAACACTTATGATTTTTTTGGTAATATATTATATGGCATAAGAGTATATATGTTTTGGCTTTTCTTCTTTTCTTTTCACATTTTCGATTTGTAGGTAATTCATTTGTGTGCGGCATACATATTAATAAACTTGTATATGCGCACTTCACTTCGATTTTACCACACGAATTTTCTTGGGTTTTTTGATTTTACCTTTTTTTTTTTTTTTTTTACCACGTTTTGATTATCTTCATTTTCTTTTTTCTTATTCACACTCACACTTCATATTTACACATTTATATTTATTTAACTTCACATTTTTGTTTCTTTTGCTCATTGCTTTAATATATAGGGTTAAATAGGTATTAAAATCATTTTCACAGAAACACACACGCTTCTCATATACACCCACAATATACATACACACGCATCCGTATATAAATTTTTATATATGCATATAATGTTATTCCCCCATCCCACATATATATATATATATATATCTCATATACATACAACACATTGATAATTCATTATATTTGATAGAAAAGGACAAAGAATAAATTAACAGCATTTTTGAATTATATATTCTGGAAATCAGCTCATAAGACATTCCCCTTCAATGTAATCTTAACGCCAAGACTTGTACTCCCCGGGTTATTAAATGTTACCCGGGTAACAAATTGAAACCCTAACTTTCAAATAGATAATTGAAATAAAGATGGGTTTTCACAATATCAATAGCTTTCTCAGATTATTTAATTAAAATTGAATGGTTTTAAAAGTTCTATCCTTGAAAGGTGAATTATCCCCAATAATTTATTAAACTTCGAGATTCAAGTTATTTTTAATCTAGTCTAAAATTCGCAAATCGATGGTAAAATCCCATCACAATTATTGATCTAATAAAATTGTAAGCTAAAAATCTCAAAATTTACATAATATAACTAAAAAAAGTATTGATATCCCAAAATACTAACATTACAAAAATACTAACATCCCAAAAATACTAACATCTTACATAAAGTACATCGATATACGCTAAATATCTATAAATTATTTATTCTGAAATTATTAGCAAAAAAAAAGTTGTATCCTTGAAAGGTGAATTATCCCTTGAAAAAATTATTTAAGCCTTTACGCTTGCTTTGATCCAATCAAGATATTTTGTACTGCCTTTATCAACCTGTGTTCGTCAAATATGGTTATGAGTATTTTCTAAAGTTGTAAACAAACCCCCAGAATGCGCTTACCTTAATTGAGATGACGCAAGGAACTTCATATCCATGATTCTTATTAACATAATCCGTAAGTTCTGGAACATGTTTGTCTTCGGTTTTTATGACGAGCATTTGTTCTGTCGCTTGTTCTACCTTTCCATCCCACCCTGTAAAAAATGACGTTTATAAACGTTCAAAAGACGTACGTATTGCTTGTGAAAAAAAGGACGTTATGACGACTTACAATAAAGCGAGGTTAACCCATGGATAACGTTAACACAAGCGGCAAGTCTGACCTCGACCAAACCTTTTACAAAACACGTTTTAATTTTTTTTTCAATGCGAAACTGGGAAATAAAAAAGTGAGTAAAGGCACACCTCTGGACAATTTTTTGGCAACCACTTCATCCGGACACGTCACAAAAACGACCCGGGCCGTCACCGAACCTTGCTGGGACATTACTGGAGGAGTGGAAGTTGTAGAGAATAATCGAGGTAGGTGTGTATAAATTAAAGAACAGAAAGAGCAAGTGAAAAAAGTTCTTACGCGAAACCGGTTTACTAGCATTTTGCAAGTGGTCGTTTGGGTTGTCTTATTTATGATATATTTTTATTGTGTCACAAATCCGGATAATTTTGGTATGAAAAGTAACGGTAGCACTTGCTTTAATTAAATTACTATTGTGTAAAAGAAATTTTGCTTTTCTGCCTTTGTTTTTCTTCCTTTGTTTTTTGCCTTTGTTTCATGCCTTTGTTTTTCATGCCTTTGTTATCATGTGATTCATAGAACTGAAACACGGAACAAAGTGTGTACCCATCTCACCTAAGAAACGATAAAAATGCCTCGATAACTGAGAGTTTTTCTGCCCAATATTAAAGTTTTGGGTAGAGTTACTGGTAACTTCTCACCTAAGAATAAATAAGCATTTTTTAATTAGATAACCTTAAAATCAGATCGGTTAATCTATTTTCCACGCATCCGACTATCAATATTTACAACTCTTAAAGACATAATGACAGCTGCAACACACTGCCCCGATTGTCGGAAAAGATATATGGATGTACAGAAACCTTGGTGCAAGAAGTGCGATTTCCCAAAAGTGTTTGGTCAATGGACGAGTGGTGATAAAAAAATCGACGAATTTATCAAGCATACACAAAATACGGAAGGAATCGATTATGAAAACAATTACTTGGAATGGATTCCTTTTGACCGCTTCCGTAATTATGAAATAATTGGACGAGGCGGATATGGAACTGTGTATTCCGCAGAATGGATTGATGGAAAGAGATGTTGGGATCAATCTACCGATCCATGGACAAGGACACGACAACCCTGCAAGGTGGCATTAAAGAGCCTAAACAGCGAGATGGAATCTCACCAAGCATTCATTGAAGAAGTAAGTGAGATAAATCCTCCCTAGAAATCGATTCATATGCAACGTTTTTAAGAAAATGTAACTAACCCTTTTAATTACAAGGTTCGTTCTCATTATAACGCGCATAATGATTCTTTTGCAACCACTTCCTTCCCAATGTATGGTCTTTCCCGAGACCCCAATACGCAAAAATACTTGATAATTATGCCATTCATCGAGAATGGTAACTTGCGTTCATACATTCACGAAAACTTCCACGTACTAAATTGGGAATTTAAACTCCAATTGCTCTATAGTATCGCATATCAACTCTCTTGTATTCACAGTCGGCAGTTGGTCCATAGAGATTTACATGGTGGAAATGTGCTCGTGAAAATTGAAGAAGGTAAAGGAAGCGCTGAAATAACAGATTTTGGACTTTGTCGTTCTGCCGACGAGGTAGAAGACGATGTCTTTGGTGTTTTACCTTACATAGCTCCAGAGGTATTAAGAGGTGGAAAGTTCACTCGAGCGGCTGATATCTATGCTTTCGGTGTTATAATGTGCGAAATGACAACAGGATTACCAGCGTTCTGTGATCGCGCCCACGATGGGTCATTGTTAATGGATATCCTCGATGGACTTCAACCTGAAATTCTTGACGGCACGCCTCAGGAATATGTTAATCTGGCAAAACGTTGCCTTGATGCTGATCCAGAAAAGCGCCCTGGTACATGGGAAATTCGCAATTTTTTTTCTAATCGTCATGCTACCAACAGCATTCCACAGGAATATCGAAGAGCGGATGAATGCAAAAAGAAAGCCTCGCCTCCGCAGTCGAATTATGTTCACAGCGATGCCATCTACTCAAGTCGTCTTTTAGATCTTAAAACTATGAGACAAACATTTGGTAAGCAAATAATTGGGCTATTTTACGCAATCTTTCATTTTTCGTACTAACTTTTTTGTTTTTGTTCAGATACCCAGCAACTTAATCAGATGATTGAGGATTTTTCGGACATTTAATATTGCAAATCAAAAAACTTTTTTACAGTTTTAATGCAATTCGAAAACGTTCCGGGCATAGATTCCGTTGGGGCATTTAATTTATGGCTCTAAAATAATCACTTCATATTGACAAGATTTTTTAATCTCAAGTGGTATTTTATCTTTCGAGCTTATCAATATGTATTATTTATTAATTCAGTTTCAGTCTACCTTGACGATATGAGATATCTACGTAGCTATCTTTTATTTTAATGTATATATTCTATTTAATAAATGTAAGTTTTCCCGAGAACATCAAAAAAATGTATATTTTTTCACGCATGTATCAAAACAATATAGAGAAATTCCGGGTCGGGAAGTCATCGAAAACTCGTTTGTTTAGTCATCTGACTATCGATTACAAAAGCAATGCTCACTTACGTCCTTTATCGGATCTTTTTTCGTCTCAACTTTTTATTTCAAGCTATCCAATCTTTCTGTTGGTTTCTTTGTGCTAGAGTTATAATTGCGACCTAAAATGAAAAAAGTTAAGCGATGATCACATTTGACAGAAGCAAAACTTTACAAAGACCGGCTAATTGTAATAAGAGAAAAGAAGAATTTTTTAATCTTTAGGATCTTTTTGAATCTGGCACATTTCGAGTAATGGGAACAATCAAAAATAAATTTAGATTTTATTGGATAAAAAAATAAAGGTTAATTAATGCAAAGATAATATTGTTAATTAACATCCTAATTTTGATTGTATGATTGTATCAGTCTCTGTTTTGGTTATCAAAATATAAAACACAGGGTTGTTATTATCTACTACAGTGAGAGTTGAAAAAGAATTGCCTTAACAAAATGGTATGGATAACAAAATAAGCTTCGTTTTTTCTAACATTACAAATTAAGAAAAAGTAATTTTCAATACATGCAGTACGATAACCAAATATAAAATTTCTTTATTTAGTATTTTTTATAAAAACATAACATGTAATATAATAATTATATTGACGATGACCGTCTATTTAGATGTTTTTCAATATAAAATTAAACTTCCATAATAACAATGTGTTTACTTAGACTTTAGGCGCAGGTTCCTCTGATGTCACAGGCTCCGCTGACTTCACAGGTTCCTCTGCTGTCACAGGCTCCGCTGACTTCACAGGTTCCTCTGCTGTCGCATTTTGATCGGTCCCAGTACTCGCTTGCTGTTGTTTTTGAACAAAGTCTACGGCATGTTTCGCGTGTCCGGCAAAATCAGTGGCCGAATTAAATACTTCACGAATGATGCCTTCACGATCAATAAGATAAGTAGCACGACCAGGTATGACGAATAGGGTTTTCGGAACCTGATATGATAATTTTAGATTAGGTCACCGTTTGTATATTCTAATCGATTACAAGAGTGAAAATCTTTCATACCTCGAATGCTTTCTTAGCTTCATTCTTTACATCGGCCAATAGAGTGAATTGAAGATTTTGGGCACTCGCGAATTTCTTGTGTGCTTCTGCAGAATCAGAAGAGACACCAATGACAACGGCACCTGCATCTTGAAATATCTGGTATGAGTCTCTGAAGGAGCAAACCTAAAGCAAATAAAAATACTAATCGTCAAAGGAAACCGTGTGAATTTGGCAAGATAATATGTTGTATACATAGCCAATTACCTCTTTCACACACCCATAACTTTCATCCTTTGGATAAAAGAACACCACCACTGGCTTTCCTTGTCCGATAATTGACGACAGTTCTACCTGTTCCCCATTTTGGTTTTCTAAAGTGAGATTCGTGGGTGCTGGTTTATTAAGTAACGGATGTTGAGGCATTATTGATGATAAGGATCTTGATTTTACAGAGGAAAGTGAAAATATTTGTCTCTTGAAAGTTGTTTTGGGAGTCGAAGAGTAATAACTGATGAAAATGAGAGAAGAATGAGAAAAAGGCGCAGTTTCTGATTCAAAAAAGTTATGTTTGCCAAGATAAAAATTTCGAGCGTGATTATAAAGACAATGATGTGGTCTTTGTACTATAATAGATTTTGTGAGAACATCAACTTTATTCAAAGTATAATGAAATTTGCTGCTCATTATCGAATTTTCCCACGAGGAGAAATTACAACTATGTTTATTTGGCTTTTTAATTTATGTACATGTATAATACATATACACTGTGCAGTATATCCAATTTTGATTTGTAAAAGTATAAATAAAAATAACAGCTGTTCAAAAACACTCATGTAATATTGACATCACAAATTCGCATCGAAATTTTGATACTAAATCCAAGGAGAATCGAAATAAGTAATGGGATTGAACATTTTGAAAACTATCCAAATAACAGAGATGGGTTTATTATCTACAACATGATGCTGGAATGCAAACCATGAACTTTCTCGACATCACAGATTCGTAGGCTTAATTCTAAGATAATCAATTCTCATGTGATCAAGAGAATTTCAATGATTTCATAATTTTTTACTCTTTCAGAACTATAATAAATTTTACACCTAAATGGACGCAATTAATAAAGCTTTTCGGAAAATGCGAATCAAGCATGCGTACCTGTAATTGTGCAATCTAGTATACACATAGCTATAATCTAGTATACACATAGCTATAATAAGGCCAGATTGTAAATTCAAGATTTGTAAATGTTTGAACTTTGTTTCAAAGAAAAAGTTACATTTATGATTAATTAGTATCAGTATATGATCAATAAATCATCATTAAATTAGAGGGGGGAAATGCAATTTATTGATATTTCTAAACTAAATATGTTTGTTGTTCTGAAATTATCAATATTAATATCACTGTTACTGTTGTTCGTTTTCTGTTGTTCTTCCCATCGGTTCGGTTTTCGAATCAATCTCGTCTGATTTAGACAATATTGTAGGCAATAAAGGCCAATCAGGGGGTGATTTTTGATCACCAAAATGTTCCTTTAAACGATTAATCTCGTGCATAATTATACTACCGGCACTAGTTATATCTATCACATGATGTAATATATTATCATCCGCTTTAGTTGGCAAGCTCACTCTCATCGAAGATTCAGCCACAGCAGGTAGCGTAGATTCACGAGTCAGAAACAGAGCAATACGTGATGGAAGTGGTCCATTATATAGGCTATTGGATTGAGGTTTCCAAAATAGTAAATTAGAATCCTGCATAGAAGTACGTTGAGAAAGTATTTCCTTGGGTGCGACCCAAGCTGTCAGAAGGGACATTTCATTTTTTTTTAGATAATCCATAAGTTCCTCAAAGCTTCCATATATGCATGGCCATGTTAATGAATGAAACCCTGAATATCGTATTACAAAATCGTTGAATTTATCATTAGTACTCCTTAGCATAAATGATCCCTTCCATCCCAATGCCTTTGCACTATGGATTAACAATCCCAAATCGATTGCTTCGTTCGCTGAATCCAACACTAACAGCTTATCGAGATCTTTCTTTTCAGGCATTTGAACAACTGGAAACGGAACTTCAGCAAAAATTTCATGACGATCTGGTCTTGCCGCAGTTCCGAGAATCTTACGTGCCATATCGATGCTTAGAATATAATAATTTTCCGCTTTGATCAAACTAGGTTTTTCTATGTAATCCAATGCAGGCGCTTGTATCTCATATTTTGTTTTTTGGTTTGTGAGGAGCATGAACAAGTAAACTTTTTATCTTGAAACCTTGTTTAACAAGATTCAGTACATTGATCTCATTTTGAACTATTACCATTTTATGCTCTTTTCTATATGCACCATCCTCGACAAGTTTCTCAAGATGCATTATCTTTTTATCGGTTATTCCGTGAAGACGAGTAAAAATTGCAGGCCATTCATGCTTATATGCGAATTTTTCTCGGTATGCTTTCCTTTCTGTTGCTTCACGCAAAAGTTCTACTCGTTCCTCATAAGAAAGTGATTTCGATTGTAATCCACCAGATTTAGATTTTTTATCTGTTCGATCATGAGCTAATTGGGTTCGTTTACGATAAGTGCTGTAAGAATCTTCTCGAGTTGGAAAGTTTGACGGTGAACGTCCCCAGTCTCTTTGAGGATAGCGCGATCCACTTTGTTCATAACTGTATTCATCATATTCTTTGCTGATACCGGGAAAATTTCGAGTTTGTTTTTCGTAATTCGGGATATCGCGGTTTCTAGTAGAATATGATTGTCGATTAAAAGATTCTGAACGATCATTAATATATGATGGTCTTTCAGAATTATAATCGTCATATGGACGGACTTTTTCAAAATAAGTACGATCTTCATCAACTCTCCTGGTGTAAGTTCCGGGACTTCTTTGATTATAATTTCTCTGATTGTAATTTCCTTGATTAAAATTCGAGCCTCGGTCAAAACGATTACTAGTAAATGATGGCCGTTCAGTATTATAATCAGAATTTGTGTCAAAAGAGCGGAATTTTTTATAACCGTCATCATCTTTTTCGGTGTAATTTCTTTGATTATAATCTCTTTGATTCAGATTCAAACCTCGGTCAAAAGATTTCAAATGATTACTATAGTCAGAATTTGTATCGAAAGAACGAGATTTTTCAGGAACACGGCCGAAATAAGTAGGACCATCATCATGTCTTTCAGTATAATTTTGTGAACTTCTTTCATTATTTAATCCTTGATTAAATTTTGAGGCTTCATATTTATTACGACTGGTATTAGTATTTCTATTTTCCGTGTACAAGTTTCCTAGGCGCGAGCTACCTGCATTAGGCACTTTGATTTGAGAAAGTTCTGGTGCATAACGACCTTTTGATTCACCATAACAATTAGATATACTAATATGAAATCCACGGCATTGCTTTGTTTTTCGAAAGTGTTTTATAGCTTGTCGTTGCATATTCCCTCTTTAATAATTTTTTCTCAATTCATTTAATAGTTCGAAATTTTTAAGAGATGAGTCAGAATTTGTCATTTTTATATATAATCAATGATAAAGCATTTTTCAATAGTTGAACGAAAAATAATGGGTAAATGGTTACGAATGTAGCAAGAGTAAATAAGCAAGTGGTTAAGTTTTCTTGATTTCAATACAAATATATATGTGAGATTTACTAGTTATTAAAAGAGATCTTGATTTCAATACATGTTATGAGCTCATATTCATTTTTATTGTTGTTTCAAACACGCCTAGCGCTAATAAATTTATGATCATGTGTTGCTAAATGACAAATTCTGACTCATACCTGATGTTGAGTGATTATGGTTTTGATTTGAAGGCGGGGGAGGTGGCGGTGGATACTGGCTATATGGACCTGGAGGTCGTATAGGTGAAGAAAAAGACGGACGATTACTTGTTGATGATAAATTGTATTGTGGTGGTGGGGGTGCTAACAATTATCAAGACATAAATTTAAGAAAAATCAAGAATTCTCTATAACAATTCGATACTTACTCCCTGGTACCATTGGCGGTCTAGGTGGGTATCCCTGGGAAGGACCGCCACTCCCACCATTACTGCTACTACCATTCATCATGGGTGGTCTTGGTGGCGGAGGTGGCTGTGATGACGGAACACTAGTATTGCTAGCACCAGTTGTAGCGGGACTCAGATAGCCACCATATAGATTTGTGGGAGATATTACACCAGGCCTAGGTTGTGTTTGTGGTGTTGTGGATGTTAACGTTGGAGCAGGTGTTGGTGTTACGACTAGTGGTATGGGTGGTGGTGGTGGACGCAATACTGCTGCAGGTGTTAGTAATGGAGGAGGAATTGCTACCGGTGCTGTTCTGACATCTGCGAAAAGACGGTTTGGTAGGCTTTGATTCTTTTTTGCTTGCGCCGCCAACAATCGTTCTTTAATAATAATACAATAAAAAAACAATAAAAATTAGATGATGATCCATAAAACTTGTAACAAATGAAATAAAACATAAATTAATACCAGCAGCGCTTCCATGTCTCTCCCCTTTGCCATCTTTCTTGAACGCATATGACACTGTAATTGGTTTATTCATCAGATACTGCCCATTCATAGCGTCAATCGCAGCATCCGATGAATCAAAATTATCGTATGAGATGAATCCGTAGCCTTTACTGTTTCCGGTATCAGGATCTCGTGCAATCTTTGCTTGTCGAAAACATCCAAATGTTATTTAATTTCGAAATAGAATTCAATGAAAAAAAATTTCGAGAAAAATAATACCTTTGGTGTTTGCACAATAACCCCAAACGCACTAAACGTATCATACAACATTTTCTCATCAACATCCGGATCCAAGTTCCCAATAAACAAGGATGCGCCTACATCCAGGTTCTTTTTATCTGATGTCGCCTTCATTTTTGTTACATGTCGGCATTAATCTTTGAGATTTTTTGGTGAATCAAATAGTTTCCTCTTACCTTATTGACACGAATTGGCTTTCCATATAATTTAATTTGATTCATAATCTTTATTGCATAATCGGCATCATCTTCACTCATGTACTCACAAAAACCGTACCCTTGGTGAGTCTGTGTTACACGATCTTTTGGTAAATGAACATTTACTAAAATGCCCGAAAGAATACATGCATATAAAAAGTAAGTTAGAATTGTGAATTGAAATTCTCTTAATGTTATGCCAACCATCAAGGTAAATATCCTTGAGGTAATATATGTGTTTCTCCTATAAAGGCTTTATCCTTCAAGAGAAATACAATAGTAAGCAACAAGGCTTACAAAAGACAATGTTAGCCTACACACACCTACAGGCCCCGCCTGAAGCATCAATTCCCAAATCAAAGCTTCTGTACATCTTTCATCAAGATTTCCTATATACACTGTAGCTTCTTGATTACGTTCTTCTGTTGGCCTAGAGCTCATCATTTTGTGATTTATGAAAGGTGTGTTGTTTGTAAAGTCAGGAAAAGTCAAGACTAACAATTTTTTCAGTAATCCCAAGAGATTCTCTATAATAAGTAATATAAATCGGAGAAGTTGGGTATATGTTGTTGGGGGGTTGGCGCAATGGTAGCGCGTCCGCCTCCAGAGCGGAAGGTTGGGTGTTCAAATCACTCACTCCCCATTTTATTTTCAACAATAATGTACGAGATGTAATACAGTTTGAAAGTAGATAGTCCATCAATGTTTTGTTCGAAAAAAAATAATTTATTAATTTAATTATGTTTAATTGTTAATTTTGTAAAATTACAAATGATTATAATAAAAAAAGCCCTTATTACACCCTTTTATTCTTTTTCTTTTTTCCATTCGATGAATTCACGTCATTATCTTCTAGCATATCACCACTACTAATACTTTTCGACTTTTTTTTCTTTTTTGGTTTTTCAATCGTCGAATTGCCATTAATATCTTGATCATTATTATCAACCTTTTTTTTCTTTTTCTTTTTTGTTATTGATGAATTATCTTTATTATTACTATTAAGATTTTCTATTGAGTTTTTCTCTTTATGTGACTTCTTATTTGAAGATGATTTATCGTTTGAATTGTTTGTTGTAGTTGCAATAGTTGTTGGTAACGTGGAATATGGGGATTGTAAAGAGTTCATAGGTGATGGCGAATTTATTGTCGTATTATCTGAAAGCAGAATTCCCCAAGGTGAAGAAGAGGCAGACGATGATAAATCTTCATATTCGAGAAATGATTTTGGGTGATGAAGATGCAAAGAGTGACGCTTTTTTTCTGTAGGTGACTTTGAGATTAAAATAAAATAAAATATAAATTACCGTAGAAATATTTGCATACACAAATAACCTTTAGAAATAAAAAATTACCTTATTATTATCTTCATTATATTCAATAGAAAAATTGTGAGCTGAAGAAGCTCCTTGTTTCGAAATATTATCATTATTACTAGGCTCATCTAATATTGGTAATGTCCTTTCTTCCTTTTGATGAGAAATTACAACATTCTCATCCACCCACGGATTATCACTACCTTCACCAATCTCTTCATATCCATTGTTAGGTCCAAATGAAGAGACACCTGTGTATCCTCCTGATGACATATCAAATGATTGATTACCTCGGAACGCATCATCCTGTTCTACGTTATTATTACTGTTACGTGTATCAGATAAATGCTGTGTAGTAAATTCGTAACCATCATGCGATTCAGATGACGATCGACGACGATCAAGCATATTAGTTTCTCTTGTGACTGCAGCCGAACTATAATTATAATCATTATCATCATCACTACTAATAGGGAAATTGTCATTCGAAATACTTCCTTGGCGATTACGAAGCCACATGTCTGGTAACAAATCACTACTAAAGGATGGTTTCTTGTATGGGTTAAAACTTGAAACATTCTCCGTTTTTTCATCATCATCATCATCATTATCATCATAATCGACTCCGACGAGATCTTCGTCACGAGCAACCATCAAATTGACGTTATCCTCTTCATCTTCATCTTTTTTAGATTCAACAACCTGTAAAGACATTTGCACTGGATTATTATCAAGAGTATCATCATCGAAAAAGTCATCTTGTAATTGCCCGGCGTTAAATTCATCGATAATTCCTATATCAGGGATAACTTGTGCTGTTGTTGTTTGTTGATTAGGGGGTGATACAAGTGGAGTAGTAGTTTCGGCGGTGCTGCAAAGTATTTCTGTTGAATGTTTTGGTGAAATTGATTTCCCTTGTGTGTTTTCTTTTTTATTTATTAAATACAAAAATTTTATAGTTTTTATTTAAATTCATTTTTGCATTAAGACAACAGAAAGAAAAAAATGGCATACCAGACACTTTTTGAAGAACCAAATCTTCATATTCTTTATCCCATAAATTTTTTATCTCTTCCTTTTCCCGTATTTCTTCCTCGTTATCTTCAACCTCCTCTATAAAATTTAATAAATCGATAAATTGATTGTTCAACTATCCATTATCAAAAAAGTCTCGCAAAGTTACCTTGACCAAGTGAAGAATATTCAACTTGTCGTTTCCGAATATTACTCGGGATTATTTCACTATGATCAAGCGCATCTAACAACTCAACTAATTCCCTCGTTTTTGATTCTAATTGTTGGCGAAGTATATTTCTCTATTATGGAATCACAAAAAAATAATCATAGGAATAACGCTCTTAAATATTCCTCGATCAAAATTAGATATTATAATACCTGCAACTGTAAAAAAGGAACCCCAAAATATCTATAAATATATTCCAACCCGAATCCAGTAACCATACTAGTCTCAACATACCGAACAGTATTCGCCGATGGATACTCAGAAGTTCGTAGTCGATTGCAATCAGCAATTGCTTGATATATTTGCATTTGATCGACTGTACGTTTAGCGCTATTTTTTATTATAAATATTATATATATATGTATATATATGCTTAATACCTCTAACCTCAGGTAAGGATTTCCTTTTATAGTTTCTATATTAATACCTACCTACCTGAGATCACCAAAATTTCCCTAAATCAACAAAAATATTCTATATTTATTCACTCGATAATTCGCACAGAAACATAAACCTGATAGTAAAATAATAAGAAAATTTACCAAGAGCAATATCGCCAAATGTCCCGGGACATTTCGAATTTCTTTTATAGCGTAATCAAAAGTCCAAGTTTTCGTGATATCAAACATTAGGATCACTCCATGTGTATTTCGATAAACGTCTATTGTGGCGGCATCAAGATTAAAATTTTGACTAGATGGTACCGGTCGTGGTGTTGGTGAAGCTGCATTTGGAGCTGGTGATGTTGCGGGAGCTTTTGAAAAAAAATATTTTTAATTGAATTTTTTGAATATAGATAATTACGTTCAAATTGTACCATTTTCTATTTTTAATCCAACACTATTATTAGTAGTCTTCGTCGGTGAATTTGGCGATTTAGTGGCAGTAGTAATATTATTATTCGACTTCGACAAATTTATTCCTTTATCAACAACATCCCAAATCTCCACTTTTATCACATCGTCGGTATTTTTGTATATCCATTGAATATTAGCTACTTGTATTTGTGGTGTTGTTGTGTATTCCTGGTGAAATGATTCTCCTTGTAAACGATGAACTATTTAAAAATATAAACTCAATCAAGGCCAAATTTGGAAAAATCATATTTCAACTCACAAACTTACATAACGTAGACTTTCCAGTTCTAATATCACCCCGAATAATGACTTTCACTATTTATTAAATAAAGAACCACAAATAGACGTTATAATAAGACCAAGCTCAGAATAAAAAATCGTATTTAACATTATCTTTTCAAAACATACTATTATATTTCACTCCTTTTTGAAATTTTGCCGACATCGGTTTAAAATTAGAAGTAGTATTAACAGTTGACATGGAACCATCTTGGTGGAAAGTAAATGGTTTCGCTTGTTCGTTTCCCTATTAATAATAGTAGTGATAGTAAGCACCCAAATAGTCATCGACCAAATTTTAAGAAAAGCTCATTATTTACCATATTTTCGATTCGAAACGAGGTGATCGATTAACCTTTTTACTATGCTATACCAACTCTAAACCGACAATAAAATAAAACCCTGAAACTCGATGTGTTCCCAAAAACCCCCACTTAGTCACCTTGAGAGGAACTTTCCAAATATAGGGAAGTGTAGTGAATTATAATGCAATCCGGATTAATCAAATCCGAATTAAATAAATTCGGCTTAAGATCCTCGGAATTTGCTGAAATTTGCTTATATTATAAATCTAATTTATTATAAAATTAATTATATTATAATCCAGTGTAAAAATATAAATATAAAAATCATTATTTAATTTTTTTAAACTGATATAAAGCTCGCTAATCAAGTTATATAAGCATACAAATAACATAAAAGATAAAGAAATATTTAAATTATAAGTTTCTTAACTTTTTATAATATTTATTTTCATATAAATAACTTGAATAGAGATCAAATTTTCTTAACTAATAATGAATAATAAATGATTTTTTAATATTTATTAATAGTTTTTTGATATTTGATAATGCCAGAATTAATGATAAACTTTTATAATATATAAGCAAATTATTATAATTCTTAATATTTAAAAGATCATAATTGTAAGATTATTTTATTAATGATTATAAACAAGATAAAATATGATTTGAACAGTTTTAATTTTATAACTTATGATTGTTTTTATTATTTAAAAGTATTCAGATCTAAAGTTAATTTACAGAACAGAAAGATCTTATTTATAAAAAAGAAAATAAATATAAAATATAAATAAATTAATAATAATCTATAATTAAAATATATATAGATTAAACAAAATTAATTAACTTAATTTGCATTTTCAGAAGATAACTAATCATAATTCAATAAATAATAATGTGATAAATAATTATAAATAATAATATAAATAATAATAAGAGAGAATAAATAAAATATAAAGAAATTATTAAAGAAAAATCTAATTAAAAATATTAATAGTCTAAATTAATAATTATGATATACATAATAATCATCTGTATGACAATATATTAAATCTAATATATTAAATATATAAATAATCATTTATATATTCAGAATGAATTTTATAAAATATAATATAGAAGTTAATCTATTATATAGATAGTGCAAAATAAAGATCTGAGTTAAAAAGAAATAATCTAATCAAAATTATTATATATTTCTTTACTTAAAATATAATATTTATATTATATTCAAGTACATGATTTTTCAAAAATATTAATTTTTTCTATAATATTTTTCAAGAATTTAAGAGATTTCTATATTATATTATAGAAAGAATAACTGAGTTATTTAATAAAATATTAAGCTTTATAATAATAAATTTTTTTGTTAAGAATATTTTCTATCTTATATTCTTCTTTATTATTAGAAATAATAATTACTGATAATAATTAATATCTATTAAATTTATTATCTGAATTATATTTCTTTAGAAGTAATATATAAAATATCAGATATAATTTCATATTTACTAATAGTTACAGTTTGTAAATGACAGAAGATATTTTGGTAATAATCTCAAAAAGTCCAATAAATTTTGATATAAGTTTCTTAATTATTCTTTATTTATCTACTGAAGTATTAATATTATAAGTAAAGAAAAAAATATTATCTCTAATATTAAATTTTTCAAATTTTTTGTTTTGATTTATGTATTTACTTTGCTTATTCTGAACTTCTAATAATAAATCTTTTATTATTTTTATCATGATATTTCAATACTTCATGAAATCTTATAAAATTATAATATTATTTTATAATAATAAGATGTTAATTAATATGTAAGATACTTATTCATAATTTAGCTCAAAAAATATATGATCAATTAAAATATTTTTACTATTATTATAAATAAATTCTGGTTTTTATCCTATCTATTTTGTTAATAGATTATATATATTCTTAATATTTCTTCAAGAATTCTATTTAATCTTTCTGTTTGACTATTAATTTGAGAATAAAAGATTGTAGATATTATAACTTTAATTTTAAGTTATTCAAAAAGAGATTTCTAATAATAACTTATAAATTTAGCATTCCTATCTAATATTATAATTACAGATAAGTCATATAATTTAAAGATATTTTCAAAAAATATTTTGTAATATCAGGTGCAGTTATTATTATGATTATTAATATAAAATATACTATTTTTGATAGCTTATCTATAAATATAACTATTATATCATATTTAGACTTGATAATTAGAAGTTGAATTATAAAATCCATAATAATATATTTCTATCTGTATTCTAAAATGATAAGTAATTGAAGTAATTCTAAGAGTTATTAATTATTACTTTTATTATATTAATAAAATTCATAATTGATAATATATTTATAAATATTTTTATTTATCTTTGACTAATAAAATTATTAAGATACTGTTATATATATTTTGTCTATTCTAATATATTTAGTAATTAATATATCATAAAATTCATATAAGATCTTTACTTTCAGAATTTTATTATCAGATATAACTAAATGATTAGTATTTTTCAAGTATAGTAAGTCTTTTTTTAACTCAAAGTATTTTATCTTGATCTATTATTTTAAATTTACGCTATTAAAGTTTTTTAATACTTCATAAATTTCAGTAAAATATTTATTTTTATTATATTTTTTATTAATTCTTCTTTATTAATTAAATTAAAAATAATAATTATAATATTTATCAAATATAATTAATAAAATAATATATCTGCAATAATATTATCTTTATTAAATTTATATTTTATTTTAAAGTTACTGACTTTTAAAATCTCTAATTAATAAGCCTATCTCTTAAAAAGATTATATTATGTCTTGATATATTTTAAAAAGATATGATTTATAATAATTATAAACTTTTAATCTTCTAAATATGACTTTTAAAGTCTAATAGTATGAATAATTATAAGTAACTTTTTTTTATAAATCAGATAGTTTTATTTAGCTAGTAATAACTTTCTTAATTTAAATATTATTAGTTGATTACTCTTGTTTTGATTTTGATTTAATATAATTTCTATAGTAAAATTTAAAGTATTTATAATAATTATAAATAATAATTTTAGATCAGATAATAATAAGACTGGTATTAAGATAAGATATTATTTTAGTTATTCAAAAGCTTATTATACTATTATAAATCATTTATATTCTTTATTCTTATATAGACGTACTATAAATAATAATATTATAACTGAGAATCTTTTAATAAACTTTCTGTAATAACTTGAAAGTTTTAAAAATAAATAAAGTTTTGATATATTAATTAATACTAGTCAATCTCTAATTATAACTATCTTTCTTTATTTAATTAAAATATCATCTGCTAATATAAAATATCTAAGATATTTTACATACTATTATATAATATTATTGTGATATGAACTTTTAATAGAATATTAATTAGTTATATATTATTAGTTACTTTATATTATAATATAATTAGATAAATAATTACTTATATTTTATTGAATATTAATTATAAAAAATATTATTTGTAGATATTTTTAAAAAATTTCATAAATATAATAATCATAACAAAATTATTATAGTAAAATTAACAAAACTATTATAATAAAACTAATAATGTTATTATAACAAAATCAATATTATGATACTAGCTAAAGTGATATTTAGATTATAGTAAAACTAGTATAAGTATCATAATAAAAGTATTATTTGTATAATCTCTAAAATATATAAAAATTAGTGATGAAAGCCGTAACTAGCTATAACTCTGTCATAATTTTCTAATTAACTATCACAACTCTGTTATAATTTTCTGATTAATTATCACAAGTCATAACTAGTTGAGAAGTCATCTTTAATAAAAATAATATATCTTAGCTAATAAAATTAAATAATTAATTAATAACTTATTAATTATTTAGTTATTTAGTTTAGTTTGAGTTCTATAAGTTTAATTCTTAACTTATATTTTAAGTAAATTATAATTTTAAGAGAATTCTAAGAAATATCTTGTAAAATATATCTTAATTAAGATTTATTATTTTGTCTTATTAATAAATTAATTATTATATCTATTTTAAAATTATACTTTAGAATTGGATTATATTGTAACCAATTAGCTTATTCGTGTGGCGCAGCATATGGCGCAGCCGCAGCACGTGGCGCAGTAATCGCCGATCACTACTAAATCGGGTGAATAAGTAATTTATATTAATTAATTTAATTTATTATTAATTCTATTTATAATTCATATTATTACCCATATTTAGCCTTATTCAAATATTAATTTAGCCATGTGTGTTGCACTTAATTTATAGTTTAATTAAATTAATAATTTCCTTATTAATTATTTTTATCTTTTCTT